TACCAGCTGTGCAGCCTGGAACAAGTAACTTGCTCTCTCTGAACCTGTGGGTTCTTCATAGAAATCGAGGCTAAGACTGCCTTTTATAAAGGAGTGTTTGAGGATTAAATGAGATAAAAAAACAAAACAGAGCTCCTACCAGAGTATAGGCTACTAAATATTGGTTTATTTCTAGAACTTCCACAGTCCTGAGGTTGTTATTCTCTCTTAAAGCGTGGCCCTTGCATGCAGAGGTGAAGCAGGTGACCCTGTTTCTAGTTCCGTCACTGCGGTGTGGCCTTTGGGGAGTCACTTAATCTCTCCTCTGATTTTTTTCCAAGAATAAAATAAACGCAAAAATAAAAATCTGTCTCGGGGCTTTGAACTTCTCAGAGACTGGTTCTGTGAACAGGCAGGCTCCTGACTCTTCTTTGAACTTCTTAGAGACTGGTTCTGTGGACAGGCAGGCTCCTGCCTCTGTTCTGCTAGTTACTTCTGGCCCCATCTGCCCTGGAAGAGCTCACAGAAGGCGTTGTGTGCTGTTCCCAAGGGCTGGTACACAGCTCTTCCCGTGGCCTTGACCATCTGAGTCACCACATCGCTGCCACTTACAAGGCAAGCCCAGGCCTTCCACTCAGGAGGTTGTCATGGGCTTTTCTGGCTGGGCCCCCCCATGTTGCCTTTGCCTGGGATCCCTCCCTCCTACACCGCCTAGAAATAACTGCACCCTGGGGACCACTAGACTGAGACAGCTCTCTCTGGTAAGAAGTGTTTCTTTTCTAATGAAGATCTAAAAGAGTCTACACCTCCCCCTTCAAGAGCCCACTTCAACCCTGGAGTTTTGTAGAGGCAAGAAAGCCGAGGCCTCCTTAGATAACTCACAGTCTGACGGCCGGTGGCAAGACCCATGGCATTCCAGCCTCTGCATGGGGCTCGCTTTGCACGGAATCCTGGAGATCATCTACATACAACAGGCACAGTTATTAGTCCATTTCACAGATTTAGAAACAGAGGCTCCAGGCAGTTCAGGATTCCCTAGCTAATGAGCAGAGAGGTTGGAGGGCAGGAAAGCCAGGTTCTGAGTCAACTTCTTCAGATCCAGACTCTTGAACAACTTTCCAAGGAGTTCTGATGCAAAGTCAAATTTGAGGCCCCTACCTTGAGCCTCCCTACAGCCAGAGGGCAGCCACCGCCAGACTGGCATTACCCTAGCCTGAGGCCCCATGAGTGGGTCCCAGATGGAGCCCAGGAAACCCATGCTCTGGTAGATTTCTTGGTAGAGCACACCCAAAACCCTCCAAACAAATGCAATCACAAAAGCCAACTTTGAGAACCACTTTGCCATTGCCAGAGCAGGCCCAGGACTTTCAGGGTTAAAAGCAGGAGAGTTCTGAGCAAATCAGGTGCTGTCTGGATAATGGGGGGACATCTACCGGACAATGTGGAGGACACTCAGCTATTCCTGCAAAGGCTTCTGATTAATGTTCCTACGAGGAGATCTTGCAGGTCTGCACAAATAGACTTTTCTCTCTCCTTTCTTCCTTTCTCTATTTCCAGCACATGTGTGGAAGCCAGAACTCCAAAGGATCAGTGGTCCTTCAACAGATCTCCTGCCTGATCCAAGGTCCTTATTATGAGCCCCTGCCACAGAAGCTCTCCATCTCCCATGCCGGCCAGCCTCTCCCTGCTGCCAGGCCTATCCCAGGTCTCCCAGGGAATTCTCTTGCTCCTTTCCCAGGACTTCCTCTCCACCCCCTTCCTGTCTGGTAGACAAAGACATGATCACAAACCCAAACCAGAACGATCCATCTAAGATATAGGCCTCCCATTACAGACTTCCTCAACCAGCAATTACAAGCAGGGAACTTAACCATGTAGAAGGCAACGCTGAGGCTGTTTCCAGATAATGAAACACTTCTGGACTTGAATGAGCAGGGGTATACTTCATCCCTGCCGGGATTGAGTATCTCGTCCCCAACTGCACCTTTCAAGGCCCCAAGTCTGGCCAGCATCATGGGCTGCTTTTGAGCAGAAGGCTGTTCACAGAACGATTAGCAAGGATGGGTACCTGCCCATCATTTGCTCACATTTGAGATTTATCAAGTCAACCCTGTTGGGTGGCCGGAATCTGGAAACCTAGTTTTTAAAATAACCTCACTTCTTCCATGACTGATCTAAAGATGAACACGAGACCCAAGTTGGTCCAATGAAAGTCAGCCCTGGGCTTTTTCTTGCAGTGGGGGAGGGGGCTCTATTGGTGGCACAGGGTCCTGGACCCTGGGGCCACAGGATTTGCATCAATATGAGAGAAAAGCAACCAGGAGAAAGCAGAAGCGATAGTGAGAGAAAAGTTGAAACAAAGACAGAGGGAAAATATCCGAAACCTAAACCATCATCACTTGTAGATCTAGTAGATCTACTACTAGGGAATCCTGATGCATGAGCCAAAAAACGTACATTCCCTCCCCTCTCTGTTACTCATAACTAAAAAGTCCTGTAACACTGTCCAACCACACCTCCCCCAGCAATATTCCATCTCCCCACAAGGTCACATGTTTTGGCCGGTTCCATATCTGTGGGCCCTAGCCTGGCTTCAGGCCTCATGGGTACTCCGGGAGATGAACAGCCTCAAGAGACCCCCCCCCACATTCCCTCTGGCAGTTCAAACCCAATGCACTCCCTATATTGTCTCTGAATCAGACCACGCAAGAGCTTGTCCTTCTTTGCTTACCATCTCGGGCTTTAGCACTATCCGTTTAAGTTTCCTAAAGCCCAGGTTCTGCTCCTGCAGTCTCATGAAGAACTCAAACACTGAAGCTACAGTGGAGACATCAAATGTTCCCCCACAGATCCACTGGGTTGAAGGCCTGGCCCCCAGCCTGCCATACTGTAGGGTGGAGCTTTTAAGGAGTAGGGCCTCATGGAAGAAAGGAAGGTCATTGGTAATCTGTCCTCATTTCTTGGCTTCCTTGCTGCCATGAGGTGAATAGGTCTCCTTTACCATGCGCTCCTGCCATGATGTACTGCTCTGCCACAGCCCCAAGACAGAAGGGCTACGTAACTGTGAACTGAAGCCTCAGAAACAGGGAGCCAAAAATCAGCCTTTTCCCTTATTAAGTTGATTATCTCAGGAATTTTGTTACAGAAAACTAACACAAAGCCTGTGACTAAAAAAAGAATGAATACACTCCTTTTGATTCTTTTTCAAACCCTCAGTATGGTGCTATTATGGCCTACTACAGGTCACCACTTGCTTCTCTTCTCTTCTAACAAAAAGAGGAGGGAAGAGTAGGACCTTCTACAAAAGGCTACAATGTAAAAACATTGACTTGCTTTCATTGTATTTATTTTTCTGGTCACCTTCTATCCATATCACTGGTTTTTCATTCATAAAACTAAGACAACCCCCTTATTGAGCACAGTGAACCCCAACATGGGTTCCACAGACTCATACCTCCAAGCCTCTGTCCATGCTCTTCCCTCTACCTAGATGCACATTTCCCATAACCTCCTTAAACAAGCCCATTATTTCTTAAAATCCAAGGCCAATGTTACAGCCACTGGGGCTGTCTTTTGCCCTAATGACTCCAGAGTTTCTGTGTTCTTTCTGTGGTTTGCTGACAGGATGGCCTTCCCTGTGGGCCTGAGTGGTCCCAGAACCAAAACAGGCCTTTACCCTTCTGTGAGGCACAGAAGCTCAGTCAGAGCAAGAGGAATGGGGCGCCCTAACTGAGGGATGTGGATCTATTACATCACAGCACCCAGATGGCGAGCTCGGGACCCAGAGAGTGGGAGGGAGGACTTCCCAGGAAGGGAAGACTGTAAACTCCCAGGACAGGGAAATCACTGAGGCCATGCCCTGGAGCACAGGTCCTGGGACTCCAGTGAACACACTGAAAAAGAAGGCTCCCACAGAGGCCTGGGGCAGAGGGCCACAGAGTCCTTGGTTCTCCACATGACTCTGCATTCAAATCACCTCAGAGTTTATCCTAACAATCCCTGAGCCCACCTCAAAGACTCTGCCTCTGTCTGTGTGGGTTTGAAGTAGGTCAGGAACTCTGTACTTTAAAGCCCAGGATTCAGGCAATGCTGAGACAGGTCATTTGAGGGCCACACTTTGAGAAGCCCAGTTCCACACATTGTCAGGAAAGGGCAGAGACTGGTAAGGTCCTGACAGATAAAAGGCAGAAATTCACACCAACTGCAAAGCTGTCCTAGAACATCAGCAATCACCGACAAAGTACCTAGAGTCACAGAGAGCAAGCCTCATCAAGGTTATTTAAAATATGCCCCCAAATTATTCAGTTGTGACGTGTTTAATGAGGTAGATAGAGACATGATCACGGGCCTCTGTAGACTGAAACTGGAGTGATCTATCTAAAACACAGAACCTTCTTTGAGAGGCCTCATAACCAGCAATTGTAAGTAGGAACTCAACAGTGCAGAGGTCAGAACTGAGGCCATTTCTGGCTAAAGAGCTATTCCTTTGTCTGAGTGACCAGACAACCAAATTGTTCCAAGATGTGGTCACCCCGAAGTTTAAGCACAATTAGGAGCAAATGACTGAAAGGGTCTCTGACCTCGGCTCTTAGAGCTTCACCTTTGGCTCTACCCTGTCCCCTCAAAAATGAATTTAAAAACAAGAACGGCATGGTTAGGTGGGGGAAGTATCTAAGACAGTACCCAGCAGTGGCCCCCTATAAAGATCTGGCCTTCAGAACAATCCAGGCTTGGTCACTTATCAAACAGAGATTGACTTTTATCCGATTAACCGATGGGGAAACATCCTTCTCCATCTCGAAGGAGCATTCTGGAGGAACGGCGTTTTGCAGACTGCAGGGAAAAGTTGGGCCTTGGCTTGCCTCCCGCTCGGCCAGTGGAAAATTACAAAGGAGGCAGGGCTGCCCTGAGCCTTGTTCACCCACCCTTCCTGGGCCCAGGAAAACATACAGAATATCCCAGGAAAAAAAAGAAAGAGAGAAAGAAAAAATGTAAAAAGCACCAGCTGAGCCTTTACCTACCTGGTGCGGAGAGGAGTCTGGGAGGCGGTGGGGGCGGGGGCGGTGGGGGCAGCGGGGGCGGGGGCCGGCACTGGCAGATGTGCTGGCAGCTGTCAGTCACCTTGACGCAGGACCTCTGGGGCTCACCGTGTGTCACCTGCAGACACGGGCACAAGCAAGAGACCATAAGGCAACTGGAGGCTGAAAGGGGCCCATCTGGTCCCTGCCAGGCTGGAACTTGGAACTCTTCCCCAAGTCCAAGGCAGGTAGAATAGACCCCAAAAAAGTCCAAGAGGTTAGAAGCCTGGCCTGGCAGGATGGAGACCAAAGTTTTATTCCCAGTTCTGCCAGGGACTTGTGATGGGACCTTGAGCAGTCAACCTGGATATCTGAGAGATGAACTAGACCTTGAGTACTACTCTGAAGAACTTCCCCATGGTACAGATCACTCCGTCAGAAGTGGCTGCCGAAGAGTGTCTCATCTAGACAGTGGCACTGTGCTAACATAAGTCCTCAGTCACCTAAGCACAACCAGCTTTCCATCTTAAAGTCAAGCCTCTGCCATCTCTCCAGCCACAGCTCCCATGGCCTTTTGGTATCTACTCTGGGGTGAGGCCACCCCATCTTAGGAAGAACCTTACCTGGCCAGGCTTCTGCCCAACAAACCATTTGTAACTCTACACTGCCCTCCCTCCCAAGATCTCCTAAATGGTTCCCCACTACTCAGGCTTCAGACCCTGTGCCATGTGACCCTGGACAGCCTCTTACCTCGGCCTTTTCCCCTGTGTTCCCATCCTCTGCCCTACTCTCAGCCTCCTGCCGGCCCCTGGCCTTTGCACATGCTGTAACTTAGGCTGCAGTGTTTTCCCACTACTGCCTGCTTCTTTACATATGACTTAGCCTGGCTGTCAAGCTCAGAGAAGCCTCTCACCTTCTTGACCAGGTTGAGTCGCCTCATAGGCTCCCTAGTACCAGGTTCCCTCTCTGCGACTGCAGGCTCAGGGAAGGCAGGGCCAAGCTTTGAACTCCCTCTTGTTATTATAAACCAGCACCCAAGGAAAGCCTAGTATTCTGGAGAATGGATGGATGGATGGATGACTCTCAAAGACTGAACCAAAACTCATCCTCCTGCATCTTGGCCCAGTGACTCGCAGCACAAGGCATCAGTTAGGAGTTCCCAACCCTGGAACCTCCATCCCCACCCAGGCAGCTTGGACAAATTCCCCTACCTGAGTTAGACTTTCACAAAGGCTTGGGGTACCACTGTGGCTTCCAGGTTAAATGGAGGCAGAGCCCATGGATGCCCCTCTCCTTTGTGATGGACTATCACTATACACAGAGGACCATAAAGTCAAGAGTCCAGGGATTTGTGCCAGTTGCAGGTTGCAGGGAATAAGCTGACTCTAAGGCCAGGAGGGGAGAGCTGATGGCCCTTCAGCGATGGGCCTGGCTAGTCACCAGAATGAGTGACAGAACCCAATGTCCCTACATGCTGATATCCTCAGCCTGTCCCTTGCAGGCAGAGAGACTGGGTACGCCTACTGTACTTGGGGGAGATGAGCCACCTGGGTGGCAATGGTAGGTAGACTGATTTACAGCCTCACCCGCATAGCTAAGAGGCCAGCAACCTCCCACCTGGCACCTTTTAGTGTTTTTTAAAGGACCATTGATTGCCTTTCTGCCTTGCCTCCCACTGGAAAGAGCACATCTTCCAACAGCGAGCCTTTGTGCTCAATTATGGTACCAAGATGATTAGCTCCTTACCTCTGAGGGGGGTTGAGTTCCTACTGTCAGGCCTGCCCCCACCCCCATCACCACCTTCCAAGACCCTGAGGTCAATGGAGAGCTGCATGCTTCCAAGGGCTGGCCTCTCAGCTGCTTCCCACCCCAGCTACCACGTGTTTGAGCTTTGAGCTATGCCACAGCCAAAGCAAGGGCTTTCCCAGGCTCCAAGGGACCCTCTATGCAATAGTTCAAACTTGAACTCTTATGTGTTTGTGTAACCTGGGCCGACACAATGACCCATTTCTGGGAGCAGAAGGACACAGATGTATAAGGGTGTTTAATAGGATGAAATGACAGGAAGGAAGATTGGGGCTGAGTTTTAGGGCTGAGGGAGAAGGATGTGAGGGAACACACTGCATTCTTAAACACCAATGGCTTCCTGTCTTTGGTGTATGGAGGCCCCACTGAGATGGAAGCAGGAAGAACTAACCACCTGTCCTCACAGAACAAAACAAATCTAGGCTGGCCGTCCTTCTGTCTGAGGGCTGGGTCCAGTCCAAGTCAAGGGGCCCCTCTTGGAGTTTCCCAATTGTTCTATTGCAGCACAAATCTACAACTAACCCCTTTTCTGCCAGCCAGCCTCTACTCATCCTTTGAAGTCCTCTCTGTCATAACCACTTGGGACTAAAGCCGTCTTGAACTTCACAGCCCCCAATGTGGACCCCAGCCTACCACTGCTTTTTTACCTCAAACATTTTCTTTTTGGAAATTCCCCTGCTGTCTAGACTGTGTCTCTCCACACTAAGCATGTATGCAATGGTAGGTGAGCCCGTTTCTTTCTCCTAATGGGTGACACACAAAGCCCTGCTGGATGTCAATCATGAGCACATCTTTCCATGAACATGAGGGAAAGGGGAAGATTAGCAGCCACACAACCAGTGGGAGGAAGGCTCAGCCAGTCTAAGGAATGTGCCCAGAACCCATTGCTCAATGAATACTCAACAAAGAGGTGTGTGGGGATCTGCCCACTGTGGGGTTCTGCTGGCTTGTGGTAGTAGATTTAGAGGAAGACTTGGGTGGTTGGAAAAGCATATCTGGGCATCTGGCTTCATGGGTTTCTAACTTGGGAAGTCTTACAAGCAAAAGGAATTAAAAACAAGATGTCCTAAAGGCAAAAAGAGCCACTTGCTCGTGGCTGAACTTTAGAAAGATCAAGAGGCCCAGTTAGGCCTTTAACCTGTGACCTCCTCCCTTCCCTGCCAGAATGGAAGCTACTATGATTACCTGCTGGGACCATTTCTTCTAATCACCCTCACCTGCTTTACTACCCGCCCACAGTTCTACCAGGAACCAGAATCCTGCCAACTCTGTGTCTACAGAGTGGGCTGAGACATAGGGAGGTTCTACAGCCAGACACCGGGTTTTGTGGTCTGGGGAACACATTGCTTCATGGCATCGATCCCCCTGCCCCATGCATCACCTCAGTTTTGGATGATCAGTGTAGCCTTCAGGTCAAACAGGTTCTGAATCCACCCACTTCTCTTGATCTCCTGTTGCTGCCCACACACATCAGGCCCTCATCAGCTCTCATTGGGTGGAACTTGCCTCTTGTCCAGGTTTCCAGATAAAAGACAGGATGTCCTGATGTATACTTCTTTTAAAAAAAGACCCTGTGCCAGACACGGTAGCTCACACCTGTATAATCCTAGCTTTTCAGGAGACAGATCTGAGGACTGCAGTTTGAAGCCAGCTTGGGCAGGAAAGTCCAAGAGACTATCTCTAATTAATCAACCAAAAGCTGGAAGTGAGCCAGGTGCTGGTGGCTCACGCCTGTAATCCTAGCTCCTCAGGAGGCTGATATCTGAGAATTGAGGTTCAAAGCCAGACCAGGTAAGGAAGTCTGTGAGACTCTTATCTCTAAGAAACCACCAGAAAACCAGAGGTGGAGCTGTGGCTCAAACTGGTAAAGTGCTAGGCTTGAGTGAAAAAGCTTAGGGACAGCACCCAGTCCCTGAGTTCAAGATCCACAACTGACAAGAAAAATAAAAGCTGGAGTGGGCTCAAGTGGTAGAGCACCAGCCTTGAGTAAAATAGCTAAAGATCAGAAGCCAGGCCCTGAGCTCAAGCCCTAGTACTTTGGGGGGGAAACAAACAAACCAGCCCATGGTTTATTTGAAATTTCAGTTTAACTGCAAATCTTGTAATCAATCCTACTTGCACCTTACCACAACCCCTCCCCCAGTTCATCCTCTGTGCTGGAGCTGGGCTGTGTCTAAAAAGCCAATTGGATCTAGTGCTGTCTCTTATTGCACCCCTTTGCATCCTGATCTGCCTTCATGTCTCTGCTGCAATACCACATCTTCAACAGGCGAACATGGAAGCTATTTGCTCCCCTGAGCCCTTGCCTGCAATTCCTGGTCCAATCACCTCCCAAGGCCACCCTACCAAGAGAGGGCAGGGACCACTGAGCCACGTGTCCTTAACACAGAGCCTGGTATACAGGAGATGCCCAATAAATGCTGCTGACTGATCCCAGCTATGGCAACCTATGGCATTGGATCGGGGATAGCTCCTGTGGCAGCACACAGAGGCCCATCAGGCCAGATCTGAGCCTGTCTCCTGGCACTTGCTTTGGACAAGCAACCACAAAGACGATGGCTTCTGGCATCCTTTATGGAGAGAGGCCAGCACCACAGTAACTTGATGAGACACACTCCTGTCACACCTAATAAATTCGCCAGCCTGTCATCCTCTTCTCTTGCAAGACGAAAAAAGAATCGACTGAAGTGAACTTAAAAGAACCCTAAATCACAAAAGTGCAAAATCTCAACCGTAGACTCATGCAAGTAGAAAGGGGAGAGGCTAAGGAATGCCCCCACCAGCCCTCAAGCAATTTAAGTCATCTGACTTTAATGATTTAACTTTCTTATCACCTTGCAGCAGCCAGAGGCTACCACTGGCTTCAAGGGAGGAGCCTGGTGCGTTGGGAACCCAGGGTCTTTGGCTTCATCAACCACTCAGTTAATCATAAGACTTGGTGTCTGTCCCATCTCCCCAATGTTCACCCCCTGGGGGGAGTCTTCTAGGGAAAGAAATGCTTCTGGAAGCCCAGACAACTCTAAGCTCATTCTCTAGTTGAGAAATTCCTATGACGTGACAGATTTATTTTCTCCACTTAAAGAGAACTCCATGGCCTCCTGCGTCTCCATGTTTTTCTTTGCTCTCCTACGTTTCCCTGGACTCAGCTCTTCTGCTTAAAAACCAGATCCATTCATTCCAAAACTCCTTTTCTCTTGGTTTCTCTGTCCTTATCATTTGTAAATTAATTTCTCCAGACCTCAAGCCAAGAGTTTGTCCATTCTATTTATCTGGAGGATTCTTTACTAATTGGTTTTCATGAAAATTGATTTGTATTGAGTCAGATGATTTAAAACACACATACACACTCCCACACACGCGCGCACACACCACTTGCTTGTGCAAGTATTGCCTGGCTGAAGGACTCTAATAAAACTGAGCTGCTTTGCAGAAAGGAGGATTTGGGGCTGGGGTAGGACACGTGGCTCAAGACTGACAGGCCTCACCAGCTGCCTCTCCATCCTAGCTGTAAAGTCTTCCAGAAGAGCGAGAAGTATAAACACATCGGATTCAAAGGCAAAGTAAATCTCACATCTGAGGTTCAGCTAAAAGTTTGAACAAGAGAAACCCGTCCCAAACCACCCAAGTGTTTAGCAGTGACAAAATCCTCCATCCTAAGCGCACACAGCTGAGTCTAATAACCGCTCTTTCACACATTAAACAAAGCTGTCAATTCTGAGAGGAAAACAATTGTGCAACAGAGGTAAGCTACAGAAGAGAGAAGAAGATGGGGCCTGAGCAGGGGGTTGGGGTGCGCATTAGCTCAGAGCATCCAGTTCTGTGTGTGTGTGTAGTGCGGGGGGGGGGGGCGTGCCAAGGCTACCATCCCAATAGGACTGACCTTGTCTGTGCCAGTGGGGCAGCTCATGGACCATAGCAATGTTACCCCATCCCTTCTTTGATCTGTCACCCCAACTCAGGCCAACCATCCAAAGAGTTCCTAACCCCCCAAGTGCCACCAGGAGAAGATGAAACTGCAACTACTACTGAGCGGGTCCTTCAAAACCCCAAACAGAAAGCCTCCAACCACTTCCAAAATGCCAGACCATACTGTGGTCAGCAGACCTGGAAGGCCCGTTTGCAGAGAGGAATCTTAGCAACAGTATTTACTTTAGTGCAGGCCCTAAGTAATCTTTAGCTCACCAAATACCTACATTAATGCCAGATGCCGGTGACTCATGCCTGTAATCCTAGCTACTCAGGAGGCTGAGAGCTGAGGATCACAGGTTTGAAGCCATCTCCCAGGCAGATAAATCCAAGAAACTCCTGTCTCCAGTTAGACATCAAAAATGCCAGAAGTGGAGCTGTGGCTCAAGTGGTAGAGCACCAGCATTGCGAGAAAAAGCTAAGCAAGAGTGCCAGGTACTCAATTCAAGCCCCAATACTGGCACAAACCCAAACAAACTAAAGAATCCAACCACCAAAATCACCTACAGTTGCCCAGATAGGAGGAGAAATCAAGGCTCAGAAAGATCAAATATGAGCTGGTGCTTAAAATCCAGAGCTCTCCACTGTACCACTGACTGGGTACCTTTGGGACAATACCAGGGACCACAGCATCTAGCGAATCCTCTCTCTCTGACCAAGGAACGCTAGCAGGAGGCTGGCTGCCTGATCTCTGCCAGGAAGCTGGGGGAGGAGAATGAGGGCTTCCACCTCATTCCTGATAGATGGGTGGGTCTTTAAAACCCATCAGAGCTTCCCCAGCAATTGGAGCCACAGGAAACCAACTCCTGCATGGAAAGCACTTTGGAGAAGCTAACAGAAAGTTTCAATGAGTGTTCTGGTTAGGAAATAAAGCACATTTTCTTTCTTTCTTTTTTAATTTTGTTTTCGTAAATGTTAACATCAAAAGGTAATGTCAAGCTGGGTGCCAGTGGCTTATGTCTGTAATTCTAGCTACTCAAGAGATTGGAGGATCATGGTTTGAAGCTAGCCTGGGAAGAGAAGTCCATGAGACTTTTTTTTTTGGGGGGGGAGGGGGGTCTGGTGGTGGGGCCTGAACTCTGGGCCTGGGCGCTGTTCCTCAGCTCTTCAGCTCAAGGCTAGAGCTCTACCACTTGAGCCACAGTGCCACTTCCGGCTTTTTTCTTTTTGCTTATGTGGTGCTGAGGAATCGAACCCAGGGCCTCAGGCATGCAAGGCAAGCGCTCTACCACTGAGCCAACTTCCCAGCCCATCCATGAGACTTTTATCTCCAATTAACTACCCAAAACAGAATTGCTAAAAGTGGAGCTGTAGCTCAAGTGGTAGAGCACCAGCGTTGAGTGAAAAGCTAAGAGAGAGAGAGAGAGAGAGAGTGCACTGGCCCTGAGTTCAAGGCCTAGTACTGGTAGAGTAATACTAATTATTATAATAATTATTATTAATAATAATAATGTCTAACCTCCTTTCTATGCCAAGGTCCTGGCCTGCAGGCTCTTAGGCCACAAATGAAGCCTCCTTCCAAGTTTCTCACCTTTTTCTGAACCAGTGTATTTCCGGACCATACTAGTTTTTCTTTTCCTAAACTCTCCCTTGGACCAATTAGTGGGGATGGCTGTCGGCGGCCAGAGTCTAACGTGACCTTCTCCCCCCTCCCCTCCCCAGGCTTCCAGCCCTCCGCAGCCTGCTCACCTGCATGAAGCCCCAGAGCGGGTGGAGGGCGCAGCGCAGCAGCAAGGAGGGCCAGCAGCTGCCGCGACGCAGCACCAGGTCCCGGAGGAGCATCTCGCCCGGCGGCGCCCACGGGTGGGGCGAACTGTCAGGGAAGCAAGCTCAGGTCAGGCGGCCAGGCGCGGGCACCACTGCGGCCCGCGCACCGCACCGGCACGCGTCCCGGTCCGGAGCCAGCGGGTTCGCCCGCACTCTGGACACCTTAAGGCAAACCCGCAACCGTCCCCGGAGCTGGCACACCCTTGCTGAGGCTCCGTGCATTCCAGAAGTCACGATCACTCCCGGCGCACACCCCCAGAGGACTGCGTGCACACTTCGAGCCCATGCACACCTCCGGAAACAGCCCGGCACACTTAGAGAGCCCTGTGCAGTTCCCGGAAGGCCATACTCAACTCACTCGAAAGCCGGCGGGAGCCGCTCGCGGCGCGCACACCCACGGCAACGGCCGTGCGCACCCACGGGCCCCCATTCACACTCACCTACTCCTGCCCGCACACTCGGGGCCCTGCACGCACACACCACGAGACCGCTCACTGCGTGCGCTCCGAGCGGTCCCTCTGGCCTCACTGCGCACCCCTCACGACACCGGTGCCTCCGTGCGCACCCCTCTCCTCTCCCCCCGCCCCCCGCCAGGCCCCAATCTCCGCCTCGGGGCGAGGGTTCCCATCTCCGCCCGCACCCCTCCGAGGCTCCCCGCAACCTTGCCTGGAGGCAGCCCCAAGCGACGCTCGCCGCGGGGAGGGGAGGTCAGCGCTGCCCCCACCGCAGCGGCTCTGCTGGCCAGCCACCGGACGGCCCCCATTTAAAGCCAGCCGCCTCCCCAGTACCCCCGCCCTCTAGGCGGGGCCTCGGTCCTCACCCTGGCGGCTGCGCGGGCGCCTGGGGGCTTCACATGCCGAGGAGCAGCGCTGGGCACTGGAGCAAAAGTTTGCGCGCCGCTTGGGCCTCCAGGGCGGCTGCGCCGGGG